ATGCAAATGAAGCCCGGGAAATTCAAATCCCGGGCTTCATTTGCAAATGCGGATGACTACATTACCCCCGCTAGTTCGAACTAGCGGGGTAGTGTAGACATACCCTTCTATATCTGGCATCTGCACTGCCACCATTTTCAGACAATTGCTTGCATGGGCACGCTTGAAGAGCTGCAGGTGCAGTGGAGATTCTCTATGGCTGGGGAGGCAAGCCATGTAGATGAGGGTTGTAGGCAAAGGGAAATGAAGCTGCGATTTAAATAATCGCGGCTTCATTTAAATTTACATGGCTGCCTCACTGAGCCGACAAACAGCTTATCAGCTGTTTGTCGGTTCAACGCGCTAGTCTGGACGCTCCTGTGCCGACCTGAAAGCCCTTTATCGACCTCCCCGTTATGCCTCTTAGGATGAGGTTTACCGAGGATGTCAATAAAGGGCTTTCATTTCGACAGGGGAGCGTCCAGACCAGCGCGCTGAGCCGACAAACATGGAAGTTTAGCCATGTAAATGTAAATGAAGCCGCGATTATTTAAATCACGGCTTCATTTCCCTTTGCCTACAATCCTCATCTACATGGCTCCGTTGACAGAGCAATGTAGTTTAGACGTACCCTATAGGGAGGTGGTGGGGAAGTAAGTCCAAGCTAGGCAGCAGCTCTGGTTCACTGAGCTGGCCTCTCGGCCTCTCTTTGGACCCCAATAGTCTGTATCTCTGCAGTCTGTCCAAGGGAGCACTTTCCCAACGATGCCCAATTCCTTGCAGTCTCCTTCTGTGTCTATCAGAAGCAGCATGCTCGATCCCAGTTCCAAAGGCATTCAGTCCCAGTCTGTAGCTGCACCCTAACAGCTCCCTTTCTGTTCCAAAAAGCCAAGGGCAGAGTCCCAGACTGCGAGGCCTCGCTTCCATACGCGTGGAGAGACTCCGATCCCAAAACAAAGAGAGAGACTTCCTCCTTGGTTTCCTCAAGGGCTCATGGGAATTGTAGTCTGTGGGGCTAGATTGCAGCACACAGGATCCTCACAGAAAATAAACAGAGGCACCTTTAGTAAGGGGACTACACTTGTAAACAAGATGGATCCAATTGACTTTCAAAATGATCAAAGTCCATTTTGTTACATTCGACCTGTCACAACTCAAATGGCAACTTCTGTCAGGTGTCTCATGGCCTTTGCTGGCCAGGCTGGCACCTTTCCTGTCATAGACGGCCGCGTTCCTCGTCTAGGGCGGAGATCATGGACATTGGGGGCATAACCCCCAAACCTGAATAATGTTCACTCTGATCTCCACCCTGGACCAGGAAGGCGCCTGCCTTCTCTGGGTCCTGCCAGGCTTCTGGGAGCTGGCAGACTGCTCCTGGGGAGCAGTGGAGGGCTGGATGCCAGTGGCTTGCTGGCTCATGTTTTGGGGCCACTGGGTCAGGGGCAGTGACTTCTGGCTCTTGACTGGCAGGCCCTCTAAGGGCTCCGAGGAGGAGGGGAGGGAGAGAAGTGTTCTTGGTTGAGGCTGGAGTGGCCACCAGGGCACCCTGTGAAGGCTGGAGGCCCCCTATTTCGAAATAAGTGTCTTTTGTTTGATCCGCAGTGCCCTTTCAAGGGCTGGATGTACAAAAATCAGATTAAATTCCCTCACAAGATCTCTTGCACATGACAGTATCACTGCATTTGTCTTCTGCTAACTGAAAGTGTTGCGACTGTTCTTCAAACTGATCAAGAAGCCTGTTGACTGTCTTCTGACGGAAAGCCGCCGTGAGTCAGAAAGCTGTGATGCGTGCTGGTGGTCTACAAGTCACGGAAGGCCAAGTGAAAGCACAGGGCAGAGGATGGGGCTGACGGATGAGGCTGAAAGAGGTCAAGTAATGGTCTGAGAGAGAGAGACAGCAATGGAGAGATCAAGGCTTAGTAGAGGGAGTGATGAGATGTTAAGTGTGAGGAACTTCCCAGTCCTTGAAATTCCACAATGCTGAGCTCATCCAAACTTCCACAATGCTGTGCTCATCCTTCCCCTTCCTGTCATGCAGATTCAAAATCAGTGCCCCTCCCAACCCCCAGCAGTCACCTTCTCCAGGTGTGCTTGCCTACTTGGTCACGAAGCTCTTTGGTTTTCACCCCATATATGATGGGGTTGAGCATTGGGGGGAACACGAAATAGAGGTTGGCCAAGATGACATGAATATGGGGAACGATGCCCTGACCGAACCGGTGTGCCAGGTTAGAGAAGAGGAAAGGAGTGTAGGATGTCAGCATCACACAGATGTGGGTGGTGCAAGTGCTGAGGGCTTTCCGGTTGGCTTTCCTGGAGGAGATACTGAGGATAGCCCTGAGGATCAGACAGTAGGACAGGCTAATAAGCGTCAAGTCTAACCCCAGGACTACAAAGGCCATCACCAAGCCGTACATCCTGTTGACTGTAGTGTCCCCACATGACATCTTTGCCACAGCTATGTGCTCACAGTACGTGTGGGGGATACTGCGATTGGCACAGAATGGCAGCCTGTGCAGGAGCAGAGGCAGGGGAAACATGAAGAGAACAGCTCTTATCAAGCCCACTAGCCCTAGCTTAGCTATTCGGGCGTTGGTGAGGATGGCGGCGTATCTGAGAGGGATACATATGGCCACGTAGCGATCGAAGGCCATTATCACCAGAATGGATGAATAGAAAACAGAAAGCATGTGAAGGAAGAACGTCTGAGTGAGGCAGCCTTCCACAGTAATGACTGTTAAATTGAACCAAAATATACCCAGCGCCTTTGGCACGATGCCGCTAGACATGCTGATGTCTGTGAGCGCCAACATACACATCAGAAGGTACATCGGCTTGTGCAGGGTCTGCTCCTTGCCTACCACAAACAGAACCATGAAATTCCCCAACAGGCCGACAATGTAGAACAGAGCAAAAGGGATGGAAATCCAGACGTGAGCAGCTTCCAGACCAGG